ACTAACTTTTTTTTTCCGACTTAAAAAAGTAACTTGAGAGTTCAGGAATCTACAGACCTAACCATTAGAAGTTACAACTAGTTATTTTCCCATTTAACATATATTTTTAAAATAATATATTCTACCTTAAAATCAATTTTTTTTTAACATAAAAATTGTGATATTTATAATCTATTTTAACTAAAAATATAACGGGTCATAACAAATTGACCAACATCATAATAATAACTTGTTTTTTTTGGTACAAAGAAAGAGGCCGAAGCCTAGATTGTTACTCTACGAGGGTACGCGACCCCGATATAATCATGCTCAAGCCAGATTCCCAATTCTCTAGGAGGGGATGTTACGTGTTGAAGTCCCACCGGGAAAGTTGCCGCCAGGCCCGCCAAGCAATCCGCTGCAAAATTCACCTCCCTATGAACATGTTTAACTCTAACGGTCTAGTCCCTTTGGATGAGATCACGAATTGCCTTCACCATCGAGCTATGTGCCCCATTACCTTCTTCATTATTGCCCACCATTCTCGCCACGCAAGAGCTGTCAACCTCTGCAATCACTTGTCGATACCCCATGTCCCATGCTAGATGCAATCCTTGAAAGAGCCCCCAAAGCTCGGCCCCGATGATGGAGCAATGTCCAATATTCATTACGAACCCCTTAATCCAGCAGCCCTTTTCATCCCGAATCAGCCCGCCGGCACAGCTCAGCCCGGTGAGGTGATCGAAAGCTCCATCACTATTCACTTTGACCCATCCCAGTTCCGGAGGAGTCCACTGAATCATTTGAGTGACATGCGTCATTGCCCCTGCCTTCGCATAAGCCACTTCTGCTCGTGAATAGCAGTCTACAAGCCGCATTACTTCCTCTATTTTAGCCTCAACCGGCAGCAGCTTATTTTAAAAAATCCTTTCATTCCTCCACTTCCACGTTTGCCAGGTCACTATTGAAAAGACGCTACTCCATCTCACAAAATCTCGACCACGCCTGACCATGAGATTTTTACGGAGCCAAAGTTTGATAGGCTGATTGAAAAAGTCGTCATCATGATCTGCCGGAAGCAGCCGCTCCCAGAGGGTTTTGGCATACGGGCAGTCCCGGAGCGCGTGAATGATAGACTCAGCCTCACCGCAAAAGTCACAGTCTGGTGACCCCGCAATGTGCCGCCGCAAGCGCTCGCCGTTGGTGAGGAGTCTCTCTTTGGCTGCCAACCATAGAAGGGTACGATCCCGTTGAGGTGTCGGGGCTCTCCATATAAATCGCCATAAGGGTTGGTCTATGTCTCGGCCCCCATGAGATAATGCCTGATACGCCGATTTAGTCGAAAAAATACCATCATCAGAGAGCCCCCACCTGATGCGGTCCTCCCCAGCACCGGTTCTAGGTGGCAGAACGCCTGCAATTTTTAATACTATCGCCGAGGGGAGAATGCCTTGAAAGCAGGGCCAGTTCCAACTTCCATGATCATCGACAAAATCTGCCACTTTCGCATTGATATTAGCAACATGCACATGAGGGTTAACAAACTGAATTAGTGGTCCTTCAGCTCCGAGCCAGGCATCCAACTAGAACCTAGCCGTTTCACCATCCCCAATGACCCACCGCGCCCCATTGACCACTTTGGGCCACAGCTTGTTCAGCGCTCGTAGTAATCCGGTTCCTCTCCCTACAGGAAGGGACGTCAGGCTAGAGGAAGGGCTTAAGTTGTACTTGGCCTTGACTACCTTCACCCACAGTGGGTCTGGATTCGACAATAATTCCCAGCCCAGCTTCATTAACATCGCCGAGTTCATCCGCCGGAGGTCCTTAACTCCCAAACCTCCCGCGTCTCTAGGTTTACAAACGTCCCTCCACGCTACCAAATGTAGTTTTCTACGTCCAGCAGAACCACCCCATATGAATGCGCGACTTCTCCGTTCTAGCCCGTCTGTGATATTTTCCGGAAGCATGGTAGTCTGCATCGAATAATAGGGGAGCGCGCTTAAGACCGATTGAGTGAGAGTCACTCTTCCCGCAAGAGATAAAGACTTCATTCGCTATCCCGCTAGCCGAGATTCGGACCTCTCCAAAATATGGTTAAACATATCTTTGGTAACGCGGCCATGAACCACATGCATTCCCAGGTATTTGACCAAGTTATCTGTAAGCAATGTTTTAAAAACCGTACCGGTCGTCATACCGGTGTGGCGACCGGTATGCGGTATTACCGGTACGACCGGTATTACCGTCTATTTTACCGGTTTTAATAAATATTAAATTAATTTGTTATTATTATATAAATAATATACAAAACTAACTTTAATTAATATTAAAATAAATTAACATCTAATAACAATATAAACATATTAAAGTTAAGTGTAGAAATTTCAATTTATATAAATAAAATAATAAAAAACTATTAAAAATATTTTTTTTTTTAAAAAAAAAATGGCATAAACCGGTATTTTGACCGGTATTTGCCGGTAAAACCGGTATTTTCCAGTACGAAACCGGTATTTTGGCCAAAACGGTATTTTGAGTGTAAATGTACCGGTCGGACCACCGGTATCCGGTATTACCGGTAATACCGGCCGGTACGAACCGGTATTTAAAACATGGTCTGTAAGCTTGAAGTCCAAAACACTCTCCAAACGAACTCGCTCCTGGGCCTCCACATTCTTGGAGAAAAAAACTTGTGTCTTTGTCGGGCTCACTTTAAGTCCCGACGTAAGGCAAAAACCATCAAGGACCTGCTTCAAGACTCTAGCCTGATCGTCCGCAGCCTCGAGAAAGAGGAGGAGATCATCGGCGAACATAAGAAAGGGCACCTTATTTTAGACACCATCAAACTATTCTTCATAACACCATCAACTAAGAAAGGGCGCCTCATTCAACTATTCTTCATAACACCATCAAACTCTTGCCATATTTTTTGTTTGGAATCTTATACATTTATGTTTTTATTATAGACAATGTTTGTTAGACAAATAAGCTAGCTTATAACTTATTTGATTAATTTATAAGCTCTTTGTATTCAAATAAGTCTTGTTTGGTAGGGCGACATTTTTCAAAAAACTCGAACTTATTTGATAAACTTTTGTAGGTAACTTTTCAAATAAACTAGTTGAATTTTTTATTTCAGCTAGATTTTCAGCTAATTTATCAAATATTTTTATCATATAAGCTACTTTTCAGTTATAAGTCATAAGCTATAAGTTCGAAATTACTGATTAGCTATAGGCTAGCTTATCAGCTATCAGCTAGGTTATAAGCTAATATATATGTTTATGTGTTTATTAAATCATATTGAGTTGTTAATGTACAGTTAGTTTTTTGGAATTTAATCATCTACTTTGATATCATATGATTATATATTTCAAAAGTCTATTCTTTTATCTTTTGTGTAGTTTAGGATGGTACATTTAGGTTGAGAATTTTAATATCACACCACACTTAAATATCTTAAATTATAAATACACTTTTAAATATGTTATTAATTTAATAAAAAAATATTTATTGTTTATTTTTTTGATATAATATATTAAATTACTCATTTCTACCATGTCTTAATCACCTACTCACCACATATAAAATTAAATATAATTACTTTTTTATTTGTATATGTACTATCATGCATGTAGATTGAAAAGCACTGAGAAATAAATGTAATGCAATGTCAAACAAAAAATAATTTAAAAAAAAAATGATTAAACTAATACATTACATTATAAAAATAAATAACAAAGCTTTGCCGCCCTTGTGGTCTTACCTGGCTCGATTCCGGATTAGTCGGTTCCCTTGTGGATTCGGAAACCAGAAGGTCCCTGTGCAAAAAAAAAAAAAAAAAAAA